GTGTTGATGATTTGCTTCAAACATAAATAGAGCAAATAGAACAGGCTATGATGAAGTCTGCGACATCTGTTTTTAACGTAGGCCACCAAAATGAGTGGAGTATGTTTTGCTGTGTCTTTTTCACACCCATGTGACCTGTGACTTTCGTGGAATGATACAAAGTATCTCTTTGTATATCTTTTCTATCCCCTTCAGCTACATACAATTTCTCAAGGGGCAACTCTGTTGTGCTTGATCTTAATATGATTGTATTTTCTCTAACAATGGAGATAAGATAGTCATGCGAGTAACAGTATTGATACGTTCAGAAGTTACAATGGGAAGGTAACCTTCTGAATTAACCTCCTGGGTTTCGTATTGTCTAGATAAGGCATCTGGCTTTTTAATACGGTAACAAGGTCTGTAAGTGATTATATAATTGAACCGTGAGAGAAAAAGAGACCAGCGTGCTTGATGCAAGGACAACCTTTTAGCTTCGGCAATGTATGAAAGGTTCTTATCGTCTATTATTCTTAAAACAGGGTCTTTATCACCATCTAAGTACTTTGAATGCAAAAACGATGGCCAATAATTCCATTTTACAAATGTCATAATTCTTCTTGGAGTCGGATAGTTTTTTGCAGAAGAAACAACAAGGATATAGTGATTGCTACTGATTCCGTTTTCTGAGGCATTGACCTCCATTATGAATGGTTTGGAAACATCCGGATGACTCAAGACAGGACCCACAGGAAAAGCCGCTTTGAGTTTCTCTATTGCGACTACAGCTTCAGAGGACCAAACAAGAGGATTAACACTCTTTTTTGTCATGTTTGTTAAAGGTGTTATAATGATAGAGAAATTGTGTATGAATTTCCTGTAACAGTTCGAAAACCCAATAAAGCATTGCATGGCTTTTAGACCCAGAGAGAGAAGCCAAGTTAGAATATCCTTCAATATCAAAGGGTCTATAGTAAAACATGCTTCAGAAATTATATAGCCTAGAGACTGAACACTAGAGTGGTGAAATGAACATTTCTCCAATTTACTAAATAATCCATTCTCTAGTAATTTGAATAAAAGAAGTCTGACATGTTTATAATGTGTCTCAAGATCAGGTGAATGTACAAGTATATCATTGAGATGTACAACAACGCATATGGATAATAAATCTCTCAAAACATCATTGATGAGGTCCTGGAAGACAGCCGGGGAATTGCACAAACCAGATGGCATAACTAAATACTTATAATGCCCATTACGGGTGTTAAAGGCCATCTTCCACTCATCTCCTTTACGGATCCTAACCAAATTATATGCACCCCTGAGGTCTAATTTGGTAAATAACTTGGATCCTTTAAGATGGTCAAACAATTCAGTTATCAAGGGCATATGTTATACATTACAAACTGTACTATGATTCAGTCCCCTATAATGTATACAAGGTCTTAAGTCACCTACTTTTTTAGATAAATGGGGTAGCAGTAGGAACATTGATAGAGAGTATGGGTTTAACCGAAGTAAGACACTCTTGATGGCACTTTGTACTCCATTTAGTTATCTCTCAATCAATCACTGGGTTGTGCTTTACCAACCAAGGGAAACCCAATACAAGACAGGTCGAAGAGGACAAAACTTGGAAGACAATGCTTTCCGCATGCAAGACACCAAAAGATATTGGGTCTGGTCTTGTGACTACTAAGAGGAGTGCAAAGTGGTCTGTCATCTATGATCTCAATGGCCAAGGGAGTTTCCTTTAAAATAAGAGGAATAGCAGATTCAGAAACAAAAGTGGTATCAATTAAATTTTCTGCTGCTCCTGAATCTTGTAAGGCTTTGACAAGGATGTTATTCTCATGAACTTTAAGACATATAGATCATATATAACAAGATGTTTCATGAACGGGGGACAAAGTCATCACACCCAAGACCAAACCCCTGTTAGGTGTTCGAGTTTTCCGGACGGCAATTTTGTAATTGTCTCATTTATTGTCAAATCTTTCCCTTTGATTATATTGTAAAGCACTACTGAATATGCTGGCACTATATAAATACCAGTAATAATAATATAATAATAATAAGAAGAAATGTAATCAATGTGTTGTATGTAAAATAACAGATCCCAGCATAAGATCAAAAACCACTCACTTTACATTGAATAATAAAAAAAATCCTATCCTATCAAAGATGTTATATGTTGCAACACTACAAAATTCCATATACCTATTGGCGTGCCCATGCGGCCTCCAATATGTAGTAATGACCTCTAGGTGCCTAAAAACAAGAATTGCTGAGCACTGACGGAATATTACTAAGGGTTATCCCAACCATTCCGTATATAAACACTTTTTACAACATAACAAAAACCCTAAACTTTTAATATGTATAGGTATACAAAAATGTAAAATTCCTTGGAGAGGTGGTGATTTTAAGAAAATTCCAGACAAAAAATAGATGTATTGAGTTTTCCTTTTAAAAACTCTTATGCCAGGTTGTCTTAATGTTGATTTTGATCTTTTTAATTTCTTATAACTGCCTTTTTTTATTATTATCATATATGTATATCCTCTCCCAACTGTGTTTTACGATCTCTGTTAAGTCTCTATGTGATACGTTTTTATTAAATATTTATAATTAAGATATAGGAACAGGAATTACCTGTTTATATTATGTATTTCCCTCTTATTTTATGATTTAAACTATTGTTTTTATTTTCCTCATTCATTTATTTGCACATATAGCCTTTTTTACATATTTTATTAATAAAATGATGCTCTCCCCTTTAATTACCAAGTTTCCTACATATGGTTTCCTTAGTAAAGACTCCAAAAACATGGCCGTCACCATGTGGAGTCTAAATGCCCCATATACTCTATTTTCTCATAGGAGGATATTCATTACTAGCTCCTTGCCCCTTTTAGGAGGAGCTTCCCTCTTTCGTGTAGTCTGTGGATGCAACCAGACCCCGGGTGCACTACATTTCCCATGTCCCATTGCGCATGGTCACATGACAGGCCCAAAATGATCCAAAACGGCTGCAGTCACGTGGCCCACTATTTTTGTAATTTTCTCCCCTTATACATTAGGCCCTACAAGGTATGATTTTTCTACCTCCACTTGAGAAAGCCACTTTGGTGAACTGCGTTGTGGATATTTCTTTTTTCATTGTATTTTAATATAGGTAGTTTGGCCTCTTTCCACTGTGAGTTGGCCATGTTACTTGTTTTATTATTATTTCTACCTGGCATCCGATTTTAAGTTGCAGTGAGGACTACTCCAAAAGAATTCATGGTGGGGATTATACCACTTACACCTACACATACTACACAGACTACACACACAGTTAGTCTGCCCAATTATATGTGAGTACCTATTCATTATTCTATACTCCTGGTGCCTTTTATACTGTGAGCACTATTGCTGTCTCTTTAATATTTTTTATGATCTTCATATCAATACATCTGCCTACCTACACCGTCTCACGTATCCTATAAGTGGGGATTGTACCACTGTACGCCATTCAGACTAGAGCTAGGCTAAGCTCTATCAATTGTAAGTAGGACCATAGACATTTTATTTACTTTTATGTTATTCTGGGATTTTCTGCACCATTAGTTCTCTCTTTCTGTCGCATATATGGCTGCCAAGAATACTCTGATCTGACCCCATGCCAGAGGAACTTCCCTGACTCTTTGAGGTTTTATCTTCTAGCAAGTTTTTACCATTTGGATTCACACTTGGACTTATATTTGAACTTTCTTTTGCTTTTTATTTGTTTGGCCTCCTACATATATAAGGCTTTATATATATATATATATATATATATATATATATATATATATATATATATGTTATAACACATCTCTGTTTTTATAATTTCTGGTGCAACTTTTATCCCCCCCTGTTTGAAATAACTTTGTGGTGTACTAGCAAAACCATTAACGGATTTATTTAACCAATCATTATTAACAGGAGTAGTCCCAGAAGATTGGAGGTTAGCAAATGTTTTGCCCATTCACAATATTAGTGATATTGCAGAAGGTCTTGATGGTAAGGTATGTCTTTTTGCTGATGATACTAAGATATGTAACAGGGTTGATGTTCAAGGAGGGATAAGCCAAATGGCAAATGATTTAGGTAAACTAGAAAAATGGTCAGAGCTGTGGCAGCTGACATTTAATGTGGATAAGTTCAAGATAATGCATCTTGGACGTAAAAACCCAAGGGCAGAGTACAGAATATTTGATAGAGTCCTAACCTCAACATCTGAAGAAAGGGATTTAGGGGTAATTATTTCAGATGACTTAAAGGTGGGCAGACAATGTAGCAGGAAATGCTAGTCAAATGCTTGGTTGTATAGTGAGAGGTATTAGCAATAGAAAGAGGGAAATGCACATGTCCTTATACAGAACACTGTTGAGAACCCACTTGGAGTATTGTACGCAGTACTGGAGACCATATCTTCAGAAGGATATTGATACTGTAGAGAAAGTTCAGAGAAGGGCTACTGAACTGGTTAGTGGATTACAGAATAAAATTTACCAGGCAAGGTTAAAGGATCTTAACATGTATAGCTTGGAGGAAAGACGAGACAGGAGGAATATGATAGAAACATTTAAATACATAAATGGAATCAACACAGTAAAGGAGGAGACTATATTTAAAAGAAGACAAACTACCACAACAAGAGGACATAGTCTTAAATTAGAGGGACAAAGGTTTAAAAATATTATCAGGAAGTATTACTTTACTGAGAGGGTAGTGGATGCATGGAATAGCCTTTCAGCTAAAGTGGTAGAGGTTAACACAGTAAAGGAGTTTAAGCATGCATGGGATAGGCATAAGGCTGTCCTAGCTATAATATAAGGCCAGGGACTAATGAAAGTATTTTTAAAAATTGGGCAGACTAGAATGGTTCTTATCTGCTGTCATATTCTATGTTTCTATGTTTCTACAACAGGTAAACTTGCTACAGGAATTCCTGGCTTTATATAACTATTGGCTGGTGTCACCTTGGAGCACCTGAAGACCCGAATTCTGCTAAACGTGCCATAGCATGCAAGTCAATACAGCCATTAGATCAGGGAGCTCAGGAACAGGTAAGCATTACAGAAAAAGAGGAGGATGAGCAAAACATCTATTTTTATATATTACATATCAATTCAATATATAATTATATAAATATATATTTAGTTTTACTACTCTTGCTTTTTTTCTTCTATTGGTCACTTCTCACTTGATATTTGAATTAAATCAACATTTAGTGGCTGTCCCCTAGCCATCAATTTTCTTTTTCCTATCCTAACACTAATCAAACAAACATGTAAAAACATGATTGCGCAATTCATGTGGTCCGTGAATTGTCAGCGTTTCAGCTCGGAGTTTAGAAATTCAGGTGATCATCCGTTAGGCTCAAATTTGGATGAACTGCAGTTTGTAACAAAGACTAAACTAGGAGATAGTGTTAACACCATGTCTACATAACACTATATTCACATTTTGTATAGATTCTGCATCTAGAACTTTATAGGCCCCATTCTTCAGTTTTGTAACTTGTAATTTCAATACAAGACTTGTTTCAAAATCTGTAAAAGTGTGCTCCTTAAAGGGCAACTTTATATGTAACTTTTTACACTGAACCCATTTTTCAGTTGTGTCTTCAAAGGGATTCCTTGTATTTTATTTTAGTGCCTGAAAAGTCAACTTCTTCATTGTAATTCTAACACGTAGAAGATAGGAAAAGGTGATGATGTAGAGGTCACAGGATACATCCTTTTCAGAATAAAGGGGTTCACTGCCCTGTATTGCCTTCCTGCTTGGTCTTTTCCATTTTTCTTCTATTCTACCATTTTCATTTTGAATTTTTGTGGAAGTCTAATCTGGTACATTGCATGTTAATAAGCCAGGACGAGTGATCCTTGTTGAAAAAATTTAACATCGATTTAACTGTTTTGGTACTTTCCAACTTTTTCTTCTTTTTCTTTCAGAAGCTTGTCTTGTCATTGTCAGAGTCGTCATGCCTTCAACATTTATTTATTTTCTTTTACACGTCTATCTCTTATGGGGCTTATCTTTTTTTATACTTTGAACTGCTTTATTATTATTCATTCTTATCCATTATAGTATTATGTGCATTCTTGTCTTTTGGGCTTGTGGAACTGTAGATTAAATGCTGGTAAGTAACTAGTTCTAGTTATGCAAATATTACAGTTGTGTTTTTAGCTTTGATTAGCTTTGATTTTCAAAAGAAAACTGTGCAAGTATGGACAGCTTATTTTCAATTTTTAAGCAGATGCCATTGGAGTGAGTAAACTGGAAAAAATTTGCCTTGTAGAAGAAATTGGGCATGAAATGTTTGTTGTTATTTGTAACGGATCACCTGGCACGCCGACTGGGTACCTTTGTTGAAGGATGCTCCTAGCCTGGGGACTCTGGAACCGAATTGGGAATTAGCTCTAGTCCTTACAAGGACGTTCCCTGGTGAATCTCCAGTAAGCTGGCACAGCCGACACAGGAGCAAATATTCCCTCCAATAACAGGACGACACACAGTTTTGGAGTGTAAGCAGGATCAGACACGGCTGTGGTTTTATTCTTTCTTATATACACATTTTTACCCAATGTTGCCACCCACATGATTTTGTAGCACAGCCAATCAGATACACTATAATACAGTTAAACACTCCCAGTCAGGACAAACAAACCCTCCCCTCTGCCTGTGATATAATTACTGTACACAATGGCTTACTGTAATTATCACAGGCAGGAAAATACAGTTTTTACACAATTCTTATAACTTCTAAAATATACATCCAATCTCCATAATCAGAAGGTAGGAGGCGGGCAAACAGGCCCCTCCAAAAACCAGTGGCAAGGTCACTTTCGCCACATATCATGCCACTAGTCTGACAACCCACCCACAATACCCAAGTGCAAGAAGGCCCCCCCCCCCACAACAAATGGGTACTTGGGGGTGGGTTGTCAGACTAACTCAGGCACCAACAGACAATCGGTCTCACTCCCCAGCTGCAGTGCTGATGGTGTCGGTTGGAGGGCTTGGAGTCCTCGGCAAGCACTAGGAGCATCAATTGGCGGAGGTACTTGGTTGGAGTGCCAGCGTTCCGTCACATTGTTGTTGTTAGGTTTGTCAAAATTCGATGATACACTTCAAGACAGTATTTAAACCATGACATAAAGAGACATTTTTCATAGGGGTGCATAATTAAAGAAAATTGAGCTGACAATGTGAACCACAATCCAAGAGATATTGGTTGATAGTAGTGATTAAAGATATTGTCAAAGGCTTGGAGAAATATGAACAGTAATATCACTAATCACCCATCTCCCAAATATCTACCTAATGGTTAATCTATGAACTTAAATTTTACATATTGGGCATTTTGCTGTGTTACAAAAGAATTATCCTGTGAATCTATTTGCATAAATGTAAATGAAATCATGTTTTTTTTCATCCTCTGTTTAAAAAGCTGCATCTAAAACGCATGGTAAGATGACTTTATAAAAAATAAGGAATTGCCACATTTGATTATACTGAGATATGTGCACAATACAAGATATGTTTGAGTTTTATATATAAGTGTAATAAACGTATCCATGCATGCAAACATGAACATTTCATCTGAGCATATCTTACTTCCTATTAATTTTTGCCCCAAATGTCCACCAGAGGGGCCATCACTGTCTGCAATCCTGCACCTTTCACCCACTCCTTTTCTATGAGATTCTATTGTTCTACATGTCCTTTGGTGGTTGTATAACATTTATTTAATCTAGGCATCCAGAATAATTGTAAGTGCACAGTAATGCCAGCACCATGATATCATCACAGTCTGACTTCCCATGATGCCAGAGTTTTATGCACGCTGACAATTTGCTTTTAATTTCAATGAATAATGTACTCTGCAAAAGAATTATCACTTTCTCATCCATAACTGTTTCATTGCTACTCTATGTTAAGTGCTTTGAATAAGGGTACTATATATGAATTGTGACGTAAATAAATACATAGATGCCTCGTTAATGTATGAGGCGTTGATTACAACTAAAAACTTAAAATGCCTTCTCATCATTTTTACAAGATACATTCAAAACATGCACTGTCTTTAAGTCATGGCATGTGAATTTTAAATTATCAGTCCTTACAAACATCGGTTGACAAGGGTAATTTACATTTACAATATTTCCAAAATTATTCCAACATCTTTTGGGCTATTGAAAAACATTTTTTTTTTTTTTTTTGCGTGTTGTGTGTTGCAGTAAAGGAACAGCATATGTGTGCTTATGTATGCATGTATGAGTGTCTGTGTTTCATGAACACAAGACATAAATCCTATAAAATACAATGACTGCAAGCTAGCCTGCAAAAAAAAAAAAAATCTAGCCTCAATTTGTGTGAAAGTGTGTGTTAAGTGCCTTGAAAAATAGTGACCTTTAATAAAGGATTGTATCCTGAGACTATTTTCCCAGACACTCGGTGACCTTTGAATCCAGACTGGGGTGAGGGGGTGTGGAGTATGGACTTTGAACCGGCCGGTTCCCGCTGTGTTCCTCTTGTTTGCCAGGCTACTTTTTATGCTGTGACAAGGGAGAAGTTCTATATGCAAAGCAAGCTGAGCTGCCAGTCTCAACCTTTGCAAATCAATTTGTCTGTGAAGATGAGTCCAGTCGAGTGAAAGATGGTGCATAAGGACAAAGTCCATCCCTCATTGTGATATGGTAGCTTGTGGCACCCTTGTCACTCACATCAATGCTAAAGGGCTTGCGGGAAAAATAGGAGGCTTAACATAAAAATTTAAATATATGTACTCCGCACGTTTGCTTTTCTTCTTAAAGTTTTATTTTACACTTTGCAGGAAGGTCATTTTGCAAAATAAGCATATTTATCCAAGGATATCATTTATTTTTCTTTCTTTTTTTATAAATCCCTAAGATTAGATATGCACAAAAAAAACATTAGTATTCAGTCAAATCTTCAAGTCAAAACAAAAAGAAATATCTGTCATGCCTTGCAAGACAAACACAGAGGCAGAGAAATAGATAGACGGACAGATGGATAGTCAGTCAACAAACTGACAAACTATTACTGAAGTTTTTATTAATCAATGTTTCCCATATTGTGATATAATAAACTTTATTCAAATGGATCACTCAAATTCAACTTTAAAAAAAATTACATTTCAAAAATTACCCGGATGTAAATTATAGTTCATCCCCACACAACTGAAAAGAAAAAAAACAAGATCCACGCCCCAAAAATATACACATTTTCTTACGATGATAAGAAGAGACATACAGACGTGTATATTTGTTTTATAGGATCTAATTAATATCCAAGGCATACAGACAGTTCAAAGCAATGGTAACAACAATAATTCATGCAAATTAAATGCATGACTGTACAAGCAAAAGGGAATAGAAGAAATTCTTTATTATGAATTACATTGATCATAAAATATTAACCTTTTACAAAAGATTAATATTTGCATTTCACTAAAATTATTGCTGTTTATTTATAAGATGCACAAATATTCTGCAGCACTATACATGCAAATTAACAAAGGACAAATGCACGAATTGATATACAGCTTGCAACATCACAAGAATGCAACAGAGGTATATGATGATATTTATTAAACATAGTACATCATTAATATTTATTATTGACAGTATTCTTTTGATGGCATTTATCATCCATATCCTTATACATAGTTAATACTATATTTTTTCAATCCTGAGTATTTCACAAACAAAAGGAGGTCATATGAAAACTGCAATGATTTGGTTTTCGTTGTTAAATATTCAAATTATCATTGGTGCAATTTATATATGGTTATTATGCCTGGCTAAGTACCATTTATATTCAAATGTATGTTTAATAAATATAGTATGGTTACATTGTAGGCAGGAGATAAAGACATCTGTGAAACATGAGGTTAGCAAGCAACTTAGGTAAATTCTATAAAGACCAACTCAAGTCTTTCATCTACTAAGCTTGGGCATAATGCATCCCAGTTGTGATTAGCAAGTAACGATCATGTTTAACTTGTATCTGAATTGTTTCAAGATCTTCTGTTCAAGACCATTTATCAAAGGAAAGTTCAATAGGAGACAACCTTTTTTTTTTTTTTTTTAATGCAAGTGATTTCACATCTCAATTGCATCCAAATGTGAACAAGCTCATTGCAAAACTTTAATATGAAATATATTACATATCAAGCAGGGAAAATGTTGAAATGGGCACATGCATGATTATCAAACAGTAGCTAATTTGGTTCATTCTAACACTTCCATTGTGAAATATGCGAATCACACATTTACAAATGTTAATTAATTCCATGTTTTAGGTTAAATATCATATGTAATGTCGATAGCTATTTTTTTTTATGTTAGACTGTTAGTGAGGATAGGAATGATAGTGGGTCAATATTAGCTTAAAGGGATATTATAGGCATCAAAACAACTTTTGCTTAACAAAGCATATTTTATGTATAGATCATGCCCCTGCAGTCTCACTGCTCAATTCTCTACCATATAGGAGTTAACCCCTTAAGGACACATGACGGAAATATTCCGTCATGATTCCCTTTTATTTCTGAAGTTGTGTCCTTAAGGGGTTAAATCACTTTTATTTATGCAGCCCTAGCCACACCTCCCCTAACTGTTACTCGAATCGCCTGCATGAAAAAAATGATTTCAGATGTGAACTTTAGAGGTTTCTATCTCCTGCTCTGTAAATTGAGCTTTAATCACACACAGGAGGCTTTAGCAGAGTCTAGAACAGGAGTAGGCAAACTTTGGGACTCCAGATGTTGTAGACTACATCTCCCATAATGCTCTTAACATCTCGCATAATGCTGGCAAAGGACCATGGGAGATTAAGTCCTCAACATCTAGAGTAGCAAAGGTTACCTAAAGGTCTAGATCATAATCACCAGGATCCTCTCAATTGCCTCTAATCCCCCAATGTCCCTAACTGCAAAACAAGTTAGAGTGCACTAGTTATTAATTGTTCTGCCTTCTGAATCCTACCTATTACGCTTCCAAAGACGTTGTCTAATTGTCCTTACATCCCTTGCATTATCTTTATTCTCTTATTGCTCACTACCATTA